TATCCATGGAGAAAATGCCTCTACTAGATGTCTGTGGGGGGATTTTCTCAATTAATGATTAATGTAGGGGAGCCTCATCACTCTGGGTGCCATATCCACAGGCGAGTGGGCTTGGGATGTATAAGAAAGATAGCTGAGTAAGCTAGAGGGAGCAAGTCAGTGAGCAGCAATCCTCTGTGGGCTCTGCTTCAGTTCCTGCCTCAAGTTTTCCTGCCTGGCTTCCATCCATGATGCTCAAAACCCAGAAGCTGGATAAGCCTCTCCTCCCCCAGGTTGTTATTGGTCAGTATTTTATCATGGTAACAGAAAAATCAAACCCAAAGACGGAAGGTGTGTAAAATCCAGCCTTTCATTGCCTGCATAACCTCAGCACGTTCTAACTCATCCTGTGACTCACTGTTCTCCTGAAACTGCAAAAACAGTAGTATTCAACTAACACAATAAAAGTGACAACTATCTAGAATAGTGAATGTCATGCTGCACGTGTACTTGATAAGTCTTAGCCATGTCTTATTAAAGACACGTGCTTCGTCTTAACGTTCCTTCAGTTTCAGAGTAAGAATCTGATGGCTTTTGTTCAGAATGCTAGCCTGGCAATGCTCTGGGTTCATGCTCAACAACATTAGTACACAAAAGTTGTCACAGTGGCTCCCACCTCAACAACCTGACCACATCAACACATTTGATGCAGGCACCTCAATAGCTTCATATTGGGGCCCAGGGACAGTCAGATGGAGTATTGAACATAAAACTTAGGCAAGGACCTTTCATATAGACTTTCAGAGAATGTTCCAGGCTCGAGTCCTAAGTCAGAACTAAGAACTGGCCAACAGGAATCTCACCATAGTAAACTATGTATTATATACAGCAATTGCAATACTCCAAAGAGTAGTGGTTTTTCATACAGCTCTTTCTCTCTTTCAAATGCCCTTCTATTGGCTGATTTAATCCAGTGACCATTGAAATTTCCATTTCTTTCTGTGGTATACACTATTTTTGTAGAAAGTGCCTGTTCATTTTCTGCCTCCACTTTCCAATCCAATTTGCATCCAGTTGGATTCATGAGTCTTGTTTTTTCCAACAAAATTTGCCAATGAAAAGTTGGTAACCAAGGGTAATTATGAGTGTAATGGGGAGAAGCAGAAAAAATGTTTCATGTATTTTATATGAAATCTAGATTAGCTGTGTGGGGGGCACACAAGGAGAAGCAGGAGATGGACTGTTCAGGTTAGGGAAAGGGTAAGTAGGAGGGGTAAGGTAGTCAGCAAAGCATGATGGGTGATGAGGTAAACTTGAGTTCAGTACAATGATACACATGTATAAAAAGTGACATAATGAAATCCTATATTTTATACACTTAAAATTGATTTTGTTTTTCATAAGGAAAAGTCAGGGGCTTGAGGTTGGCTTTGCTGTTCAGAGCATTTGCTGCTCTTCCAGAGGACCTGAGTTTGGGGCCCAAACCCATGCCAGTTAGCTCATAACTGCCTGTAACAATAGCTCCAGGGGAATCTGATACCCTCTTCTGGCCTCCATGAACATCTACAAACACACACACACAGACACACACACACAGACACACACACACATGTACAGACACATAAGACATACACACACATGCACATATGCACACACACCCACACAGAGACAGACATACACCTACACACATACACACATGCACAGACACACCCACACCCACATATACCTACACACACATACACACATGCACAGACACACACACAGACACACAGACACATAGACACACACACACACACACACACACACACATTTTTTTCTGAGCTGGTGGCTGGCAGGCAGACTTGACAAAGGAATGGGTTTTCTTTTCATGACTCCTTTATCCCTTCACAATGTAAGACAGAGTATGAAAACTGGTGAAGTTGGTGCTGGAGCGATGGCTGAGTGGCTAAGAGTACATGCTGCCTTTACAGAGGACCTGGGTTCGATCTTCAGTACCCACATGGTGTCTCCCAGCCACCTCTAATTCCATCTCAGAGGGATCCATTGTCTTTTTCCAGCCTCAGTGCTCACTGTATGCACATGCTTCATATATATTTATATCATACATTATATATTTATATATATCATATATTATTATAAACTTATATTTTCATATTATACTGTATAACATTATATAGTGTATCCATCATATACAACTCATAAACACAATATAAAATATATTATGAACTTATAAATATATATAACATAGTTATGTATA